TCCAAGCTAGACCCTACATAAAGCCATACATAAAATTGTGTGCATGAGACCTATCAGCTGTTGCAGACTTCCTGGTGCCAAAGGATTGGCTTTTGTAATTAGAACAGGGTTGTTCCGCAGACTATTACACCTTCCATACCAGTTGGTGCGGGCACATCTGCAGTGCGAGAAAATGGCACCAGCCAGTGACCCGGGGGACAGATTATAACTTGCTTTACAAAGTAAGAAAAAAATGCAGGGCGGGTTGGAGGGGGATTATAGGAAGGCAGTTATTATTAGCCCAGAAAGGGGCTGTAGGCTTGGCTCCACAGGCAGTATGCAATGAATGACACAATGTGATGTTATCATTTTTAATGCCATCTACAAACAGAAATTTACATTGTACATTAATTAAAGTGTTACTCCATTTTCTGGGCATAACTCATGCTTAGAATCACAACTTGAATCTGCATCAATTTGTGCTCCCAAGTAAATATCTCCTGGAGTTCCAAATGAGACAACTCCTGTGTGCTAGGCCAGTAAATTATGTCAGCCATGTGGTTGGTTTGCTATACTGATTGACAAGCTCTGCACAGACTTCACCCTACCTGTAAAACATCTCCAATTTGAAAGATTTGGGTAATTAGAATTATTTTTGAACATAAACACATAGGAATGCAGTATGAAATAAAACTTGCTGCAATTCTTTTTTGTTGAAAATCTGGAATTTTACTTTAAATTTAGATAAAGTATTTGCCTTAGATTCCTGTTGTTAATAACAAAAGTAAACCTACTATGAGTCATGAGAGAAACATGGAGGCTGCTAGCCTCCACTTCTGAAAATGATCACTATCTAGCTGTCATGCTAATCTCCCTGCTTTGATACTTTATGGTTGATTTAATAAAGGCGTAGAGGTCGTTAATTTTTACAAAATAAATTATACTTAGCCTAGTGATTGAGGCAAACCCGCGTTCATTGTAAATAACCAGTGATGTGTATGGAAAATTATATATAATGTATATCAGGGACCTGCGGTCAGGGGAGGCAGAGCCTCACCTAAAATTATGGAGTAAAAAGCCGACAGCTTTTTCTGCATTCAGATCGGCATCTAACAGGTTACACAGCAGGGAAATCCTCCCCGCTGTGTAACTTGTCATGGACGGGAGCGCCTCAGCAGTGAGGAGCAAGTGAGTGACAGGGAGACTCCTCCCTTCCACTAGCTTGGGGATGGGACTTTGTATGGGGGCGGAGCTTCGTCCGGCAGGGGGTGGGGGCAGAGCTTCAGGCCATTCCCATTCCATGCGCCTGGAGCAAGAGGTACCGCACGCCACTGATATATATATATATTAGGGCTGCAGAAATTAACGATTAATTTCTTAATTAATCGTTAAACTTTTAAAATTATTTTGATCGCTAATGAAAACACTCACCTCTCCGCCGGTTTCCAGGAGTCCTGTCGGAGATCCGGTGACGTCACGGACATCGATGTCACTGGACTCCTCTCCCCTTCCCCAAGTGGCTCCATCGGCTAACGAAGAGAAGGGGGGAGGAGTCAGTTATGCTTGGTTGGATGATGAAGGTCAGCACAGCTTCACTCACTTCATTCACTTAGCTAAGTAAAAATTCAAAGTGAACAGCCTCTACACCATCTAGTAATCCAAGTCCAGAGACACTCATCCAGAACAAGCATCATTGAGCTAAAGAACTTTTGACTTTTCACCAACTTCCTTATCCGCATACTTGTTCCAGCACAATGGCTGCAAAGTATTGAATGCAGTGGGTCAGGATGACAGCCAGGCAGCTAGTATTATCAGAAGGAGGTCAGCAATTGCAACACATGTTTCATTCTAAGTTTCCTTTAAACCTACTAAAATAAAATTGTGGTTTTACAATCCTCACCACTATGCGGGTTTGGCTTTCAGGTCAAACATCTGGTGAGGGCCCAATTTCAGTATTTGCCTTCAACATTAGTTTCCACCTAGACATTCCATGCGGTACAGTTCAACAAAATGCAGGCTGATGCTTTTTTTTTATTCTGGAGATACAGTAGGAAAACGCATACTTTTTTTAGTGATCTTTTAATCAAACAGTGCAGTGGGTCCCGTAAACTGACTTTCCATCATGCTACAATGGCATTCCTTATACTTGCTGTGCATCATTTAAAGAGTTGGCAAAGATGTAATTGTTTTGGTCTCATATAGCACCATACCATCACCTGTAGGCCTTCCAGGTCTCAGAAATATGCAACTAGACTTTGCTGTGCATGGCACTATGATTGTAGTGGCATGAAGGCCAGATTTCCAGTTGAAGCGTCTGCTTGCGTCCATTGCTCTCATCATCATTACAGCAGAAGCTTTTGCAGTTTGCTAACAAAATCCCATCAGTGCACACTTCTGGAAAACCAAATAATCAGGACCCAGCCCTGTGCAATACATACTTGGTCTTATAAGAAACTTGGTAACAAAACGTTTCTAGATTGCTAATCAGTTGACCTTCACCTTACAGTACAAGGTTTCAGGGTGATGTGAAATATTTTGTTTGCATCTCAGAATGTATAAGGAAGCTTAGCACGATCCTGAAGTGGTCTCTGTAAGATGGCCCCAGTTTTTGGAGGTGACATCACTTGCACTGGCTGTACTGTGTCACATATAGGTAAGATAGCATTGTGCTCTTATCATCATATATTTAATAAACCAGCAGTGCATTTGTAACTGTGCAGCAACTGATTTTTTTTCTAGCCAGGCTGTACATTGATCACACTTCGGCTTATCCAAAGCTGGGGCTCATTGTATAAAGTTTTATTTGCAATACAAACTTTGCAGACCCTACATAGTTTGTAGACCCTAGGCACCATAAGTGTCCAACTACATGTGTCTACCAGTGTCCAACTAAAAATATGTATGTAGGCTTTTTAGAAATGCATATATTTTTCATCAAATATTTGCATATATTATTGGAATTGTGGCTCATATATGTGAATATATGCTTTTGATTAGCTACATATTTGCTGGTAATGAGGCAGAATGGAAATTAAAATGTCCTCCCTGTTTTTTTAAGCTTGAACAACCACCCGGGGAAAAATATATACACATGCTACAATCACTTCTAAAAATTGTATGGGAATCTCCAACCTGCCTGTTACCTCTTCAGATCAACCTTAAATAGACCATAGAAAACAATTGGCACACAGGGTTAGATGGTGTTTCTGGATACTAATGGAATATCACAACCATATGAGAGACTTCATGACCCATTTCAAGCCCTGCCTTGCATCTCTACATTTTCCTGCTGGCATAGTTGGCTGTTGACAGAGGTAGATACACAGACTTAATAGGTCTTTAAGTGTATAAAAGAGGAGATGTTTGTTTTCTATTCTGTGAACAATGTCTAATAAGAGGGCAATAGAAACACATGGTGTTGCCAGTATAAACCAATCAGTTGTTAGATTTAATTTCTAATCTCCAATAGAATCATGGCAGCTGGAGTCTGATTGGCTGCTACAGGACACACCAGCTATTTAACCAACAAGCATTCAGTAAAGTCTGAACTAACTTGCTTAGTTGTTGCCAATCAAGAAGTAGAGAAGCAAGATAAGGATGACAACCCTGTAAAGTGCTCCCTTTCTGTTCTGCAGGCTAAAAAACAGGCACACCTGGTTTCCAAGTCCAACCACCACTCTGATTTGCCATTACTGCCTCCAAGGAAAACCCAGCACCTCTGGATAAGGTAAACACTTGCATGCTGTCTGCGCCCTATTCCATAATGTGCTGCTTTTTCCCCGAATGATCTGCTCAGATTGTATTTGCAAAGGGTCTTTATTGGTCTGCAGCAGTGGACTGGGGAGAAACCTGAAGGTAAGATGCAGAGGGTTATTTTGAGTTGTAGGTTGATGTAGCAGGTATGCTCCAAAAACATATTAGCAATGGCAGCTTTCATGCTCCTATCAATAGAAGTTCATGATAAGATGTTTAAAAAAAAAAAAAGCATCCAAAAAACGTCAGCTCACAATTTCTAGACTAACATAGACTAACTACAAGTCCCATTAGGCATTGCAAGACAACTACAAGCAGGACTCCCAGAGGCAGATGCATAATGAGATTAATAGTTTCCCCGCAGCTGGAGAGCTGACATTTGTCTACCCTTGCCATACACTGCCTTTAAGGGAAGAAAACATTTTTTTTGAAGGTTGTTGACAGATTTAACCTTGCCCATTTTTTTATTTTTGCCACAATTTTTTATTTTGGCACCAATTATACAATCTTCTTTAGGTTTACCAACAACTAAATGAGATATTGTAAATTGAAAAGATGACTTAGAGAAGTCCATGTCCTCAGTAGATGATGGTAAATCTAAAGGAGATGGTACAATCAGACAGTAATGTGTGGTCAGTTTCAATGGTTCCTGAAGTAATTAAATAGGCATTTGAACAGATAAGATGGGTAAAGGGAATATGAAAAAGGCCATTACAAGATAGACATCAAAAGGATAGTTTAAGTCTAGGTCGGTTAAGTTTAAATGAACTAAACGGGTCCTGTCCATTTTATACATTTACCACTTAATATTTACACAATGAAAAAGTAAGTGTGCATTGAGTACACCTAACTAGAATGTACAGCTATATTGTTACCATAATACAAACAGTGGTTTCATTACCCAGTGGCAGCCGTATGGTTTAAGTCTTTAAAAGTCTAATCCATTATTCATAGCTGAGCAGTAAATACATCTATGTACATAAAGGTATTATTCTTTAAAATGTTCTCATTTTTGCTGACTAGAAAAAAACACAACAGTTCGGTGTGTGTTTTATATAAATAGCAAGTCAACTGAAAACGCAAGCTGAGATCCAAAAATCTGCTTCTGAAACCTTCAGGATTTCCATTGTGCGAACAGGTGTGATATAGGTTTTTCAGATGTTCATCAGGAGAGTTGGTAAGACCTCAGCAGAAGAGACTGTTTTAGAATGTGGACACACACGAGAAGGCAGAATTGTTTTCTCTTGCAGAGGAACGATAACCATCCCCATCAGATGGTTTGCTGTTTGCCTGACCTGTATGTGCTGAATAGGACGATGAGAGCAATTAAAATGATGACTACAAAGAGAAAAATGAGGGCGGCCCATGAACTAAAGTCAGTGGCTTTAAGGACTGAAGTCTCCTCAGCTGGGATCATGTTGGTGAGGTTCAGCATATACCCAAGGGCCCAGCCGATGGAAGTGTCTCCAGCCTGAAAAGAACAGACACTGTGATCATCATCTTACTCTGAAACCACTGTAGAAGGATATTTTGTAATAAACAGATGAGAAATTAAAGAGAACCCTTTACAATATACAAGACCAAAGTAATCAGGAAAGGTTCTATGGCGTTTTCATCAAACGTCCACCGTGGATTGCATTACTGACAGGCTAAGACCTTGTAACGCTAGACGTCTGTGAAATAGCCTTTGCTATATTGTAGAATACTGTAATATATTTGAATAGTTTTGATCTTTAATATGACGGCCAAATTTTAGTCATTTTCATTTTTACTTTGATTGTTCTTACTGTGTGCAACCACAGTAAACTATAACTTGGTAGCTGTGGATTACTTTACTTTGTACTGCACTCTGCATGACCCTATTGAATAATCCCAGTAGTTCCTAGCAAAGTTCTCCCCTAACATTTGATGGAACCAATCATATTTGGGTTATTCAGGAACCTGACTATTCCGCATATAGTTATCATAAATTTGCAGGCTTAATTATGAAAGAGTTGCATTTTTCCCCTTTAACCTAAATCACTGAGATAACTTTTAGTCCTAGTGGTTAGAAGACCGAGGTCAACTGAAGTCTGCTATTGCTCAGCCAATGGCTTCACTGTTTGCTGATATCACAAGCTGTCTCCAGAGTGTGCATAACAGTATCAGATAACGTAGTCCTGTGGTAAAGAACTAAAAAACTACAAGGCTCTGGGTCTGATACTGTTATGGTTACTTAGTAGCTAGAGGACAGTGTGTTAGGAGTATAGGTTTATTGATTGGGAGCACCTGTCAAATCTTGGGGGCCCTCTCAGCTCTGACTAATAGCTCCAAGTTTTAACCTCATACAAACTAAGGAACGTTTAAATCATATGAATCGTTTATACACAAACTTGCACATTTATGATTTAAGACCAATGCCCAAAGTGTTACATGTGACTGGTTTGATTTCAAGTGAACTAAAACCGAAAGCAAACATAAAAAGCAGGCACCAACATGTACTATCAGACAGGCTTCACAATATCAAACGAGGAAGTTCAATTATGCATTTCTCAACTTCATTACCTGATGCTGAGTGCTGATCTGCCCTTTACCACACCCAGCCAAAAAAGTCTGCCTATCAATAAGGTTAGCGTGCCCATCCATCACAGTGATACACCACCAGTTGGGTTGAGGAGGACGCAGACCACATCTCTGTTTATGGAAGAGAAGTTGCGACTTCACATAGCTGACCTCTCTGCACTTAGATGCCTGATTTTTGAGTTTGCTGGTAAATTAGTTGTTTTAGAACAAAGGCAGGGTTACTTCAAGATTACAAGAAAAAAATTAAATAAGGTCAAGTACAGTGTTAAGAGTTTTTACCTTCCTCTGGAAAGTGATGTTGGGGAAAGTGCTGTTATCAAATTTGTAGCCTTTACTAGTTAACAGGTAGATGAAATTAGCGGTGGCACAGTATCCGTGGATATGTTTTTGTTGAGGTGAAGGCACCTTGCTGGTCAACTATAAGAAAAAAAGAAAGAGAGAAACAAAATTTACACACATTCTATATACATACATACATACATATACAGTGGCGGACCAACCAGGGTCGCAGAGATCGCAGCCGGGACCGGGCCCTGGAGTTCCACCAATTAGAGGGGGCCCAGGACAGGAGGACGGGGCCCGTAGTAAACAATGATTACCAGGATTTTTAATATCCCAGTAACCGCTAATATCAGTACCGGGACCTCTTCCTCCTGTCCTAGGCCCTGCATGCTTCACGCTGCTCCCCTCACCTTGTTCCGGGCGCAGCGTGAAGAATGATCGAGCCGGCGCAGCAGCCAATGAGTGGGAAGCGGGTTATCCCCGCCCCCTCATCACACAGAACGGCTGCCGACCATAGAACTGTCTGTGTTCTATGAAAAGCTCCAACTCCCTGGGTGTCAGAGGCGTGCTGCTGACACGAATTGGGAGTTGTAGGGAGCTGAGATTATGAAGGGGACCTGTGAGAGGAGAGTGTGGGGTCAGGGAGCTGAAAGCTGGGGACGAGAAGGGGGGGGAAGCTGGGGACATGGAAGAGGAGGGGGTTTGGTTCGAGGTTTTTTTTGTCTAAATAATTTTTTTTTTTTAAGTATTTAATCTTTTTCTTGGGGGGGGGCCTTCATGGATTCTTGCATCGGGGCCACTAGTTACACCTCTGTGCATATTATATATAAATACATATATACACACACACACACACACACACACACACACATTACACAAAGACATATATAAACACATATATAAATATATATATAAATATACGAACATATAAATTTATGAATGCAGTGCAGATCAAGTGAAGTTATGATCCTAATAGGTTCTACAGACGCACACCTGGGGTGTGCCTAGTTATGCAACGACCTGTAAAACTAGGTGCACTGATGGTGCTTCCTACTGCTCACATCAATAATGCAAGATAAATATACATTAAATATGAATAGATCCATGATAGGCAGCATCAACAGTAGAGCTATGGGTGCTGGCTGACTTGACACATCTAGCAAACTTGGGAGATGGAACCTATGAAGTGGGTTGCTATACAACCCATCTAGTATAGCAAACCCATCAAGTGTACAAGTATTTGGTCATGCTTAATATTAGTCACATGCACAGTCTAAAAACATATTTAGGCAGCTTTGTTAACTGCCATCAGTTTTTACATGATTTGGCCATTCCCTACACATACAATATTTTCACTGCATTAAGCACAGACAATTGTTTGTTCATTCATTCAATGATAGTGCACTTGAAAGGATTACTGCTATGGTGTCTCTTTAGCTAACCCATAGTAATCTAAGAATCCTTTTGCCATTGATCAACTGTTTGATTGTAATACAAAGATTGTATAATTATAGAGAAAAACCAAATAAATAACAAGTTTACAAATTTGCAATTGTAAAATAACAAAAAACCATAACACATCTGATCTGAAACTGTTAGTCTTCCTTTAAAGTGGCATCTGTGAGAATAAAAATGACTGCACAGAAACATAGAAGAATGATGCTAAAAAAAGTGGTCCATTGAATCTGCCTTTTTTGGGGTGTTTTTTGTTAGTTTTATGTGTAACCTTTTTGTCTGAGTATAGACTTATCTTTCTTAACAAGCAATTCCTGACATCTGTAGCTGCTTTTAATGCAAAATTGTTCACTCTCAAAAGATCCTTAAATATTCCAATAAAGACTAGTTCTAGAGTCTGGTTTCAATCCACTTCCACAGCTTAGAAGCACCCGTTTACATTAGAAGGCTGGCAAGATCTGTTCTCATAGAAAAATAGTTAGGATTTCAGTTTGAAAACAAATTTCCACCCAATGCTTACAAATACAAAGGTGATTGGGGGCTTGTTTGAAAGAGTTTTTACTGCTTGTTCAGAATATGTACAGGACATGTTTTATCCCTCAGACCTTTAAACTATTTTTCTAGCAAATGCTCTGAAAAAATAATGCATCGTGCTCCTTCTAGTGGATGCGACACAGAACTGCAGAAATCACGAGCTGGTGAAACAATTACTTGGCTTGTATTATCTGTATATTGCTATTAAAATATTAATCAGTGAGTGTTGTTAACGGCATCTGTCTCTATTTATTGTGTGGATTATTTAGAGCTTGCGATACACATGACTAATTGATGTAGAGCAAATTTCATGATGCACGGTAACGATAAAGCCGACCGACTGATTAATCCGAGATGAATAAGAAAATACTGACGGTTTGTCATGACTCACATCGCTAAAACTGGAGGAGCAGATGGCATCGGTGGCGGTATACAGGTCCTCCAGAGAGCTGACTGGCATCTTCATTATGGATTTTATGAAGTCCACGGTGTAATAAAATGCTGCAAATGCCTGAAACAATCAATAAAATGATAATGATTACTGTGCAACAGAGTCCTTTCACTGCATCTATTTTACATAGCTAAATATACCTTTTGTGATTATTTTGACTTGACAATAGGCTATAAAGGCCCACAGACTGTTTCTGCCAAGGCAACAGCCACAGAGCTAGCACTGCTTGGCAACAAGTGGCGTGTGGGACTTGTAATAAACATATGGTGGATGTTGGCCTATTAGCACTGTTTCCAGTAAATGCCAGTTCCCACATGTACCAGCTGATGGAAAGTGAAATATCTGGAATGACTTAGATAAATGCTTGAAATGAAGGTCTGTCTACTTGTTTTCAATTTTCTTTATTAATTGGCCATAGTAGGATGACAATATTAGGTGCAATTAACCTAAAAAACCCAATGTCACCAGATACAAGTCTCCTTCTGAAAATGCTAGTTTCCTGGCTTGTTTGCTGGGCCTCTTGCTTCAATACTTACCCAGGACACAGTGACTTTTCTCAGTTTTTCCTTTTACTTGTTCTCTGGCATGATAGCCAAGTATCTAGGATTTCAAAAGGGTGTCACCTGAGTCAGCCTATGTAATCCTGTCATGACAAGTTGTACTTTAATACACCAGGTAAATGGCTTGGACTGACACCACTTTGTTATGTTTTATTCTAGTGTACGTTCCTGCTGCTCTCGGCCTCCCTCAGTATGGCGGTAAAAAAAAAATTCAAGAACTGAAAGTTGGCAGAGACAGCGCATGAAGTTATAGAAACACTTACACACAAACACTTATGCCAAATATATAGTTGCACTCATAGGTTGAGGGGTTATCACATATGCTGGGAACAGGACATTGAGGGGTTGACGCACCTGAATTTGGGGCCAGGGATCTCACAGGGGAAAGACCAATGCGTGTGCGCTGGAGGAGGGATCTCACAGGGGAAAGACCAATGTGTGTGCGCTGGAGGAGGGATCTCACAGGGGAAAGACCAATGCGTGTGCGCTGGAGGAGGGATCTCACAGGGGAAAGACCAATGTGTGTGCGCTGGAGGAGGGATCTCACAGGGGAAAGACCAATGTGTGTGCGCTGGAGGAGGGATCTCACAGGGGAAAGACCAATGTGTGTGCGCTGGAGGAGGGATCTCACAGGGGAAAGACCAATGTGTGTGCGCTGGAGGAGCTAGACCAATGTGTGTGTGCGGGAGAAGGAATATTACAGGGGAAAGGCCAATGTGTGAGTGCTGGAGGAGGGAAAGATTAATCTGTATGATAAAAAGGTGTGATGTCACTGGGGGAGGAACCAGGAGGAGGCAGAAAATCCCCCAGTGGTAAAATGAAACTCTGACTTAAGCATTATCCTCATTGAGAATTGAGTGCGACTTTCCTGGGAAAGTGAAAACTCCTACTTAGGCACTACTTTAGGGATATAAATATATATATATATAATTTTCAATGTTAAGAGTGCTGGGCACTGAAGATTTTTTTAATAGGTTAATGGACCTGGTACAGTCTTATGAGAAGGGAAAAAAGCTGTAATTGCAGGGGGTGGTCTTTTCCTACACATAATGGACTTCCTGTGCAGAAAATCCATTAATATACTGTCCACATGCTGTCTTTGTCAAAGATAGAAGCCCTTGTGTATTTCAGGACAGTCATTTGTCCAAAAACCTAGGAATTTGGTACTTAGGTTTTTAGTTATGGGAGGAGCACTGGAGAGAAACTAGAGCAGAACTTTCAACCTATAGCACCATTTATTCATTCCAGCAGAGTGTGACTTTAACTTCCTATAAGCATATAATACAGATTTGCTTTCAAATTCTTTTAGTGAATAGTGCAGTGCGGTAGGTATATACCGCAGGGGTGAAAAACAAACTTCCTTACAATGTTTCTAGCTGAGTCTTTGTGCCAGAACTAATCTTTGTCTTGCTATATTTGACATCTTAAGGGAAGTGATCAGGTTAAACCAATACTACTCCCTTAACCAGTACCCATGGTGGTGCTTAAATGTATGGTAATATTCTGCAAACCATATTTGCTGCATCTGGGAAGCTTGCAGACCTAAGATTCAGAGCCAAGCCACATCCTATTTAGCATTATCCCATGTCTCTGCATTTCAACTGTCTCACATGGAGTTACTGTCCAGCAGAGGCTCACATTCAGCATGATTATATGGTTGGGACAGGGCTGCCATCCTTGTACCATCTTTTATCACCTGCAGGTTCAATTTAAAAGGTGTGATCCATCTTAGAATAAGTTTATAGCGTAACTCCACTACATTTTACTTTCTAGTTTTGGATAGAGTGGGAAAGTGATAGAATGTTTGTCTCTCTCTGATTATGTTTAGGATATAGACTTTCACTTTCTGCCATGGTGACCATCGCTCTGGGCCAGAGAGGTCATTGTAACATTTTACAGATGTCACAGAATCAGGACTGAGAAAAAAAAAAAACTTCCAATAGGGACAACTGCCTAATTGGAGAGTTCCTTTCACTTCCTGTTGTGTATCCTGCACAGGAAGGGAAGATGAACATAGAAACAAACCAAAGATACAAACTTATCTGCAGGTAGAAAACCCCTTGTAAACGTACTATGAATTTTCCGGACACTTTGGGCTGGAAGATTTTATCGAAGGAGCAGGAGGAGTACGGACAGTCACCGAACTGGAAGAGCTTGTTCACTTGTTGCCTACACTGGTCACCATCTCCACTGCCGGAAATGGTCATCTCCACCGAGGGGTCATAGGCTGGCGGCTTCTCGCTAGAGGTGCATGGCGACTCATAAACATCTCCAAATGTTACTGGTTTGGTTAATCCTTTGGGCCAGCATGGATTCTGGATATTTGTTGAATAGGACTGTTCCTAGAAGTCAAATAAAAGACATATATTTTAGATTGTAAGCCCTCATGGGCAGGGCCCTCCTTACCATCTTTTCTTGATTTGTATTGCTATTGTAATGTCTTCCTTATATTGTAAGTGCTGGCAAACTGTTGGCGCTATTTAAATCCTGTATAATAATCATAATAATATATCATGAGAAATGATGCTGCAGTGTGGATCTTTCAGTTAGCAATGACTTTGTCCAAGGAATGATTGTATCTCACATTTAATATAATTTCATGTGGCCAAATAGGCCCATACAGAATACAATTCACTTTTTAATGTTAGAAAAGCCCATTATTAATGCATGGAAAAGGTTTTCAATCATACAAGTTCAGTTTTTATATTCTGCCACTAGAAGGCACTGCAACATAAGTATCAAAATGCTTTCTTTATAATGTACTAACATACAAGATTTCAATATGAAGTTTAACCATGTCAAAGGTGTTTCAAATGTTGTATGTGTATACTTAGTGTAATTCCCTGACAAGAGTTGTGAGTTTGGCTCAAAAGCTAAAAAAGGCTGAGTACTCTAAATTAGCTATATATTTAAAGTGTATAAAAAGATTATTTTGGGGGGGTATAAAGTGGTTATGGGTTAGAACCCCGGTCAGGTTTTTATTGCTGTGCCTCTGCTATGGAGATTCACTCTATTTGTCCTGGTTACCACTATCACAAGGACTCAAAGAGAGGGAAAATACAAACAGCTGAGTTGTTACTAGCAGAAGAATAGAAGAGGGCATATCTTCTAATTGAGGCATATGTCTAACTACTGTGACAACTGTCTAACTTCCCAACAGGGGCTTTAACCTTACCAAACTCAAAAATGTGAAAGTTTTGACTTTAGATAAACTTCAAGGTAGATTGAAAGCAGAAATTAGTTACTAAAGCATGCCGTATCAAGCAATTGCCACTTCCCCCCCCTCTAAAATACAGTTTACACTTGTTTTTTGCAACTCAGTGCTGCAGACCTCCTTCTGTTATCCACTTCCTGTCTACATGCACTCACTCCAGTATCAGCGGCAAATGGTTGATTTTGAAACAGCTTCCTAAAAGTGACAACTCTGAACCAAACCTGTGCAGTGTGAGTCAGCACAGCCACTTGTAGTCTGTACAAGGTGCACATGTGACGGGGCGGCAACATATCATACCTTTAGACAAGCACACTCATATGCTATTAGTACAATCAATTTTCTGCTGCATACATTATAAACCTTTTAGCTACCTTTTACTTCTCTCATTTTAACTGTTGCAATGACTGACCTTGCAGTGTTAAAGTAAACCCGGGTAATCTACATCTGAAACGGCACAGAAGGGTAAAATAGAAGTGAGAAAAGCAGTCGCAGAATTCCAGGCTTTGGTGTGCAGCTCCATTATCATTTTAGCTCTGCTTTCATTGCAGCAACTTATCTCCAGCTTCAAGCAATAGAGCCAGTTCCAAGCTCTGGGGCTGCAGCACTCCATACCTTACTGTACAGATTAACATTAGGGTAATTTATGCAGGAAAAGGGAGCTCAAAAGACACTAAGAAAGGGATGTTTTGTACAAATGTTCTTTTTAAAATGTATTATGTTTTGTTTTTTTCAGCCAGGCAAATATGAAATGTGGTATATGAATATTTTCAATGCTCCTTTTGCGCTAGCAGGTGGACCATTAGCTCCCCTGTCCATGGTTCTTCTGAGTTCATTCAGAATTTAATGGCAGGTACATTTGACCTGCAGTTGACCCTCTGCTGAACTGCATTTGACCTGCTTCAAGTGGGTTTTAAATTCCTTTAGACTTGTATGGGAATTCAGAACCACTTTGATGGGAAGAAAAGCACATCGACGGAGATCATAAGACTCCTTCTCATGTTCTCTAGAATCTCTTTTTACTCCTTTGTTGGATAAAGCCCATTTACAGAGCTCAATAGCTCAAACTGAAATTTATACACATAGGTCAATTAGTCAGCAACGCCTCCCTAATAGGATGGTTCAGCTAGAGGTTTCAATGAGACAGAGCAGTGACTTCTCCCTAATTGGGTGGCTCAGCTAGAGGTTTCAATGAGACAGAGCAGTGACTTCTCCCTAATAGAATGGCTCCACTAGAGGTTTCAATGAGACAGAGCAGTGACTCCTTCCTAATAGAATGGCTCCACTAGAGGTTTCAATGAGACAGAGCAGTGACTTCTCCCTAATAGGATGGTTCAGCTAGAGGTTTCAATGAGACAGAGCTGGAATATCTCCCAGGGTTTCAATAAGCGACATTGTACCTGAAAGGAGATAACAGCTGCGCTCTGTCTTTGAATAACTGATAGTGCTCTGGGAATCCTTTGTCATAAATATTTATCTGTAAATAGATTATTACAAAAACATATACAGTGTATAAACATTAGTCTAAAACACAAGAAAATATATCCTAAACCATTATAAATTTCCCTTTAAAAACATATCAAACTACCTACTTCGGGAATGATCAACATACCTTAATAACTTTGGACAGGACTCTCTTCAGCACCTGGTCTCTCCCATAGCACAGAAAGCTGTGTGTGTACACGCGATATGACTGTCCATATAGCCTCAGGTTCACCTCATTCTCTGGGTTGTCAATCTTGTCTGCAGACTCAAACGTAATTTGTGTAGATGCCCCGCCAAGATCCATGGCTCCCAGAGTCCCCTTCCTAGGCTGGAACCACTGCCCAATCCAGCTGTACTGCAGGACAAATACATTACAGACAAGTGAATTCTCAGAGGACAGAACTGAACTTTCTTCTTTCTTATTTTACATAAAATAAAACCCTAAATAGCAATTTCAACCAAACCAAATTTCACAACCAAAATGATTTAGTGACCTACCAGAGCTGCTTAGTAAACACTACCAGTGTTCTAAAGGCAGAAAGTTTACTTAATGTCTCATACAATATATACACCATTATGGCTTTTACTTATTTAAGTTACTTTTGTAACAGGCTTTTGATCATCATAAGAGACAAGAACAAGATCATCTGCGTGACAAAAAAATAATTTCAAGGTTTCCTGTATCCTCTAAAGCCGACCACAGACTTTAGAGAGCCGTCAGATGTTCATGCGCAAGCTGATCATCTATGTCTATGGTCGCAGTTTTCCACTAAACACAACCACACTGGTCATATAAACATTCCTGTTTAGTCAATGGAACAAGGAAGAGGAACTAAAAGATGAAAAAAAACCACATCTTAGTATTCCAAGAATTTGCTTCTACTATTTTGTTTGTCTTGTCATGAACTTACGTGCTGGCAGACATATTTTATGTAATGCTGTGGTCCCCAATTGGTATCACACAGTGACTGTTTTACTGCCTGTCTTATCTTGGCCAGGGCTTAGTCAGTAGGTGTCCACTGAAAAATGTATACTTTCTAAGCATTTTATACTGCAACTCATTTTCACTCAGCAGGGATGTTGAGTGCACTGTCTGACATATAGACAGAGGGGGTTACCTAAAGTTATGATCATAACATGCCATTGCAAGCATATCAGAAATCAAGCAGCCTTTGCAATAAACAAAATAAAACTTCCTTTTAAATATGCAGTGCTTGGTTGGGAGAGCCCATGGCTAGGCCCCTTAGTAGTTTTTAGCTGAACATGTCCTGTTTGTGCTCACCTGCTCCCATCAGACCGGGAACTTGTCCAGGTGTCTCATGCTATTCATGTCTCACTGAGCAATGAATGCCTTTGATAATGCCTACTCTTTATTTTGGCCTACCACAACCTATGATAGGTCTATAGAATAGAGCTGGTACAACCTTTTCCACGTCAAGATGCCAAGCGGGGCCCAGAGGCTATGGAGCTTTTCACAAGGCACACCCAACAACTTTCAATGAACATAAAAATAATAAGCTGATTAAGCTAAACAATCACATGACAATACCTCACCCATTTTAAAAAGTACCGTCTTTACTGCACACAAAGAGTCAAACAGATTTGGCAATAGGCCTTTGAAGTAGACTGATGATTGAAATTTATACATGAAACACACAAACAGAGCACATTAAAAAAACAAACCGATTAGTTCGCATTAGGGTTTACCCTCTTAGTACCATTAGAAAACTGCTGCTGCAGAGCTTCCTAATGTGACCTAAAGCTTAGGCAAAGATCACAAACAGGGGTATTTATCAAAACTGGAGCAGACAAAATCTGGAGCACCAGTGCATAGCAACTAATCAGCACCCCTCTTTCATTTTCAAATCTTAACTCAACAAACTGAATAGAGAAGCGGATTGGTTGCCATGGGCAACTGCTCCAGATTTTGATAAATTCCCCTTATGGTCTCTTGGCTGTCAGGAGCATTGCTAATTGTTCCATTCAGTTCTGAAATATTAGCTTTGGGCAGAGTGGACCTTTAAATGTCAAGTTGCGTGTACCTTGATGAAGTTTTCCAGGAGATAGTTGGCGGTCACCCAACCAAACACACCTTCATCCTGACCAGACAAGATCTTTGCCCCTCGAAAGTCAAAAGGGTAGGACTTCAGTGTGGCACTGACTGCATCCAGGACCGCTTCAGAGGCCTTAGTATTGGTCAAGCTGTGGAAAGCAAGGAGTCAGTTATTTGTATCAGTTGGTTCATTATACTTTCATTGCAGTTATCCATCAACAGAAGTAGAAGGGAAAAAAATGACAGCTTAACGTAACATGTCAGCAATCTCAAAAAAACATCTAAATTGTGCCCAAGAACAGAAATCACACTGTGCCCACTATTACTTGTTGTGAAGGGAAAAAAAGAAAAGAGAAAGAACTTCTAAGCATCTTCCTGATGTAGTTTTGGTTTGTTACCAAAGGCTTGACTGCTGAGCCTGTGTCCATTGAGAGGACACTTGACAGTCAGAGTGTATGTCAAGCCCCTAATAACAATGGAAATCTAAATCAGAGAGGCACTCAGTAGGAGGATTTTCTGGTTAACAAAAGGAAACTGTAGTGAACCTGCAATTACAATAACAGGGTTGCCATGCAGAGCACCCTAAAATTTTGAAACCCAGCATGCTCTTTTATCTAAATTGTGATGCAAAGTAAACCTGTTGTCAAAAAAATATAGTGCTGCCATTGCCGACCTCCTTCTGACAATATTACTAACTGCCCAGCAAATATGGTGACACACTGGTGTTAAAATGACAAAGATTAACCCTTAAATAACAAATGTACCTGTATAAAAGAGACTGAATACTCCCCCTGCTGTCCCCCACTTCTGAACACCATTTTGATGAATAGAAATCTCCCACAAACCGACTATTATGGAATTATCGATCTCCTGTGTCCCCTGCTGTGCTCAGTCTTTCTTCCCACTGACCTCCATGTCAATACTGTGTCCTGTAGTGATGGAGTGGTCAGCAGGAGGAACCCCTGAGTGCAGGTTTGCAGGTACATCTGTTATTTAAATTACATTTTTGGGACAGATTGACTATAACACTCTCAACCCTGAACAAGCATGCAGATGGGGAAAGTATAAGAAAATATATAAATGCTTTCCTGCACAGTTCCAATACAATCAGCATGACAGCTGGGCAAATAAGCATTTTTAGGAGAAAAGTTAAACAATGAAAGCCTATGAAACCCACCCCTTTCTGCCTCCTGCACTTCTCTACTGACCCATCAATGTCATGGGTGCCATTACTGACCAATAGGTACAAGAGGCAGAAATGGGCAGCTCAGAGGTTTGGGCCATGCCCTGTGGGTTGCTTTAACTTCTGAAAATGTATAGATAACTCTATATGCTCTATTTCTTAAACTGGCCAGTAATATGAATGAAATGGCTAGGGATGCTTTGTACAGTAACCATGTGTTGAGTTTTGGACCAGGTAAGTGCACAACTGAAATCTGGGCAAAGAAAATCTTAACCCTTTCAGTGGGGCTACCCCCTCACTGCAAGGGTTAAAGTGACATTAAAGTCACAACTTAATACTACTTTAAGTGTTCATTTTACCTAGGGAGCTAAAATAACAGAAATATACTCACTCAAATAACGATCCTGCCTGGCTCCTAGACTAGTCACTTTAGCCTCTCTCCCCTTCCGCTCTGGTTCTATGAGTCATCACATCTTATACAGTGAATATGACGTGAGGAAGCTGAGGGACATTCCATTGTTGAAGCGTAGGAGGAGAGAGGCTGAAGGGCCACAGGGTAAGGCTGATCACTCCAGTGTTTGTAAATAACTGGGGACACATAGAAGTGTGTCACCAGTTATGAATGAACAGGAAGTACTTTACAGCACTTCCTGCTCATTCATGAGTTTCTCAATGGGGAGTAGCACTCTGTACAGAGGCTTCTCCCCATTCAGAAACTGGATGATAGTAAATAGTTTCTGAATGAATGGGAAGCCTCTGTACTTTCCATTCATTTAGATCAGAGTCTGCAGAAAAAGAGATTGAGGACTTTGTGTCCTCAACTTCTTTTTCTATTTTAAAAGAGAAATATCAGGGGTTGTGT